AACATTTCGGTAATTGAATTTCATGTTTATTCCTAGTACTAGGATACTTTTTCCGTGACAGGGTTTCTTCCGTATAAAAGGGCCGAATTTTGAATTTTTAAATTTTTGAATTTTAGCCTTTTGAATGTTATTAAAATTTTTAAAATAATTTCTTCGATCTATTTTTCGTCATAACCTTTCTTTAACGCTTCTTTGATTCTAAGGGTATATTTTTCGTCATAGCCTTCCTTGAGCGCTTCTTTAATTATAAAAGTATATTTTTTAGTTAAGTCTTCCTTGAACACTTCGTTGATTTTAAAAGTATAATTTTCTTCGTAGCCTTTCTTGAACGCTTCTGCATTCTAACAGTATAGTTTTAGTCCTAACCTTTCTTGATCTCTTGTCCCTTATCATTAGTTATTCTAAAGGTACAGTTTTACTTTATTTGCTTTTTATCTCCGGAATTTTACGTCTAGTCTTCTTCAATTATTAATTATATAGTGCCTTTCGGTGGTGATAGTATTTACTCTTCCTTTCGTTCAGTGGCTATGGTGTTAATTGTTTCCTTTCGTATTTATCCTTGTTTTCACAGGTAATGTTTTTCTTATCACGTATCCTGTTTCTTCCACTTTAAAATAGTATATATCTTAACTTCAGCTATTCGGCTGAAAAACTTAATTCCAATAATATATATGTTTATACAGGTTCGTGACTATAACTCTTCAGCAAAGGATATGAGAATCCATTTGCAAATTATAGTCCTGTTCTCGTCACCAAATGCAAGCGAATAAATTCCAGTTACCAACTCATGACGTGTCCAATAAATATATGTAAAAAAAAATATAAAGCATAAAACCCAATAATTATGAAGTTTATCCGTTTCTGCACACAGCTCAGGAGCTTCTCAAAATACTCTATTGCGCAATTTCTACTTAGTGCTAATGCTAAGCACCACTAGCGCACAGCCTAAGATGATAAATAAAAACAGAATATATAGTGCGAATCATCTAAAGACATCATGTGCTGCGCCATTTACCGAAAAAATTTTATGCCGATCTTGCTTTATAAAGAATATATACACGATTCAAAAGAAAATTTATTTGAAGAGAATGAATTAATATTTACTCATTTATTCATCAAGTAATAATTATCAATTTTAAAAATTTTCTTAAAAAATAACCTCATTCTGTAAAGGTATGTTTTCGTTTTAAAAAAAATGCAACATTTTTGAAGGCAAAGCTCTCTGCGGGAGTGCGAGATTTTTTAATAATAATGAACCTATTTTTGATCTTATTAAAACACCTATAGCATTTCCATTTTTACATAACTTAGAGATCAGATAAGTGTTTATATATCGGGCTGATAAGATGTAAAAGGTATCAGCGAATCGTGATTTTAAAATCAATATTAAACAATGTTGTTACATATTAACTCTATATAAATTCTGAATATAATGTTAATAGAAATTAGAGCTTTCTTTTAATGTAATATCATTAAATTCAGACAAGTATTCAGTAAATTACAGAAACATATAGTAATAGGTAAATATTATGATGATTATGTTTTTTGAAATTATGTGGTGAAAAACACTTCCATGACGTTTTATTTTTACATGATTTAGAGATCAGACGAGTGTCAATACAAGTTAATTCATCTCGATTGGTTGATATATGCTCAGATATAGAAGAAATAGACCCATAAGATGTAAAAAATGTCAACAAAGCACAGCTTTATTAAAAAACTTTGTCACATATTGACTATATATAATTTTTAAATGTGACGTTAACAGAAATCTAAGCTTTCTTTTGAGTCTAAGATCATTAAATTCGGTCAGATATTCAGAGAGTTACAAAAATATAGGTAAAAAACTATTTTTTTGAAATTACATAGAATCTATTAAAAGATTTATTTATATGGATGGTGGTTTTATTTTTACATGATCTATAGATCAAATTGGTGTTGATCCAAGTTGTTTTATATCAATAGGTTAGATGTTTAATGAGTTAAGAGTTGAAATTATATTTATTTATTTTTTATTAAGATTAAACATTGAGAATTATTGAAAATTTAAAAAAATTGATTTTTGACTTTATAACAAATATAAAAATAAACACGGAATTAAGTTTGGTGCAAGTCAAATCACTCAGTAACTATTTCCATACTAGTACTTCCATCATTATTTTCGTCTTTATCGATTGTTTCAAAATTTATTAATAAAAAATTTATTTAATAAAAAAAATAGATTTTACCTTTGCTCAAAAATATATTTAACACATTTAATTTCAGGAGTAAATGCTACAAAAGTTGAATCATCTATTGCAACCTCGCTCCAGTTTGTTCCAACTCTGATAAAATACCTACATATACAAAATATTTACAACACATCCACCGATTTGCGCAACATTTTGGGATACGAAAATTTGGGAACAAAATTATGGGGATCATATTTTTAATATTATTATTTTTACAAGTGAATTAAATTAATGATAATAAATAAACATTTCTTCCTCTACTTATTAATTAACCTGATGTTTTTTCACTTAGTCAAAAGTGACTTATTTTTGTAATGATTTTTTAGGTCAATCATAATAAATAAAATGTCCCATAGTGGCAATAAAGACATCACAAAATGTTGCCAGTCTTTATCTCAAAATCCTATATATTGATAATTAATTTAAGATATCTTCGCATCATTATGCTCTGTATCACAAATTATGCCCCGCGTCATGTAGTATGCTTCGCGTCATGAAATATTCTGCATCACGAATTATGCCTCACATCACGGATTATTGAAGACTCTAGCTTTCATATGATTATTACTTGTGGCATTGGTTAATAATATTATATGTCAAAATTTTCTTAAGACAGACAATTATCAAAAACATGTACTTTTCTCGAAGAACCATCCATGTAAATATACTTTTTCTTGCTTTAACCACATAAAGCACTTGGCTATATATATTCAGGATAGTTCACTTCACATACTATCTAAATTATCGCCTAGAAAAAATGATATTGAAAAATTTTTGTATGTGCTGCACTATATTTTTTTAAAAAAAAATATATCAAAAATATTATATATATATATACCAACAATGTACAATAGTTATGTACCAAAAGCTTTATTCATATTAATAATAACAAAACTTTTCCTAATTTAATTGAATGATATTTGTCAAAAAATTGCTAACCAAAAAAAAAAAGAAACAAAAACAATGCTTATTTGTAAAAAATTATTACAAGTAATAATAATGGTTTAATAATTTCTTGATCCATATTTCATATCCACCAATTGTGCACCATTTTGGAATACAAGATTAATTATGTATCAAAAGAAAATAATATTAATATAAAGTTTTTTTTTGGGAAAAAGATATTATATTTTTTTAATACTTCAATGTTTTCATAAAATGTTGTTGATGAACACCATCTGCCAATAGCATTTTGTTCAGTAGTTTCAACAAGGTTCATGAAGTTTGTATTTTGCTAAGTTTTCCCCCATGTTTTTTTTTTTTTTACCATATTTATCCAATAATAAAAAATATATAAATCATTATAGAACAACTACCTTTTGAAATTCCATGTATAGTATCATTATCATATTACATATTAATGTTTCATATAATAAATCAAATGGATTAATTAGTCGAAGAATCTCTTATAAATGGTAAAATTTATATATTAATAAATTTGAAATTCTTTTGACATCCATGTGTACATATTAATGTTTCATATAATGAATTGAGTAAAAAGTGTATATAGTTAATCATGTCCTTGCTACATGGAATAATGAATGATCTTTTCCCAGATTAAACTGCCTTTTGTTCTATAGGATTTATTGCATCTAATACAATCTTTGAATGATTATTATCATCACTGTTGTGATTATTGTTGTTGCCATTATTAGTTGTTGTTCTGTTTCTAAAATTCATGTTTATTTTTAAAAATTTCAAAGTGCTATTATATATATATATAGGTTATAAAATATATAAATCTAGGGGGTTAAGGGGTTACAAAAAAGCAATTGGCAGTAGAATCTCAACGAACATTAACAAAGAGTTTTTTATATCTTTTTGGTTAACAAATCGAAAAATGTGCCTTAAAAACTCCCCTCCTTTTAAAATAATCAAAATTTGTTCAGCTTTTCGAATATCATAATTATCATCACCATTATGGAAATTGTCAAAATCCTTACTATTTTCTAATACTACCAACAATTACATCTTTAAAATAATTAAAGACTAATCAATCGTATTGATTTATCAAAGAATTATTTTTAACTAAAATACTTACTTCCATCATTGACATTCTCAACAATAAAAATGCATGCCTTTCGCCTGGATCTTAACTCTCTCCGCAACTTTATCCTTTAAGATTTTAGTTATTCAAATCGTAAAAATTCTGAATGTGCATATATTAATATTAATTGAATATGATTTACACTTATAAAGTGGTCGTGGATGGTGTAAAATTCAGAAAATAGCGTCGATCTTTAAATTATCAGATATAACTGATATTAATATTTAATCATTGAATGATCTTACGTTTATTGAAATTTCAATTGCTTAGCCAAAAACGTTCTAGTCTAATCTTTGAATAGTTCACAACAAACTTTATAGAACACACCTTAATATTCATAATGTTTTTTGCTTACTTCCACTGCTATATAGTCGCAAGAAAATCTTCAACGAAAGCAATACTTTCAACTGTTGTAGAATAACTAAAAGTTAAGTTGCTTCTTGTTTTAACGGTCGTTTGAAAGTATTTTTTTGGGGAAGTTCTTTGCTTAGTAATGATATGCGATCTCCATCGACTAAATATGTAAATAAATAATAAATAAATAAAACAAATAAATAAATAATAAACAAATAAGACTGTAAATGATAATAAAAAAAAAAGATATTAGATAGGTATAGATAGATATAAATTAAACTTGCCCCATAGTCTTCTTTTTCTTTTTTAAAAAAGTTAAAAATTTTAAAATTTATACACGTAAAGGAAAGAAAGAGAAATAAACAATTATGGAGGGCAAGGATATTTTTAAAATACTTCTTGAAATCTCAATGGTGATTGGCCCTGTCTTGGGATATTTTGATCAAATAGCAAAATTTAGAGCTCGCAAATCTAGCCTTGGATATTCCTTAGATACTACAGGTGTTTTATTAGTTTGCAAGTAAGAAATATTTTATTAAGAATGTTAATGATAAATAATTTAATGGATATGGTAATATATAAAATAATAATAATAAATATTTTTTCTTCTTGTAGCATTGTTCGAATATTTTTTTGGTAAATCTATATAAAAAATTAAATATATTAGATTTAATTTATTATGCTGCTGAAGTCGATTTTTGATATATATATATATGTATATATGATGAATTTATTTTTTAGGCTTGGTAAAAAATTTGATATAGTATTATTGTATCAAAGTATTTTAATGATTATTGTTCAACTCATTCTTTTACATCAATGCTTGTTATATCAATATCCAATTCCACCAACATCGAATCGAAGATGGTTTTGGAATTGGTATCAGTACAGATCATATATAATATTTTTATTATCATTAACCGGAATTTTAGGGATTTTTTATTTTTTATTTGATAAAGATGGTGTATTCATAGAAATATTGGGATATTTGGTAAATGAATTCCTATTTTTATTTCTTCCTTTTCTTCTTTATTATTTGTTTTTAATTAATAATTTCAACTGTTCTAAACATAATTTTAGTCACTTGGCATTGAAAGCACAGTTCCAATGCCTCAAGCATTAGTAAATTTTAAATACAAATCTGTCTCGGGATTCAGGTAAAAACTCGAACTTTTTATAAATTATATATCAACAACCACTTAATCTTTGTAATTACTTTTTATCAACATCAAATCAAATATCAAATCACATTTAATTAATTTTAGTCGCTGGATTCTTGTAACCTGGTTTATTGGAGATTCATTTAAAACATTCTATTATATTTTTACAACAGCACCTATTCAATTCATTATTTGCGGCATTATACAATTATCAGTTGATGGCGTAATAGTGTTACAATTCGTAATTTATGGAAATAATAGAATTAATGAATTAATATTTGGTCAAAATAATAACAATTACGGCTATTCAAGATTAGCAGACGATCGTCGCACTCTAAGTTATAATTCATTAGATGAAATAATTTAAGGTGAAAAATTGGAGGGAAAAAAAGACTATGGGACATTAACAATGTATCAATCGTGCATTAATCGAATATATTTGAAAAATGAAATAAAATCATTCAATTTTGGAATCACAAACTGTTAATTTATTAATGATTAAAAAAAAGAAAATCTTTTTTTTAAAAAATATGCAAGATTTATTTATAAAAAATATTAAACAATTCAAATCTCATTACCAACTAAATAATTCTGCTAACAAATTTTAATCAACAAATTAATCCCAATTCCTAAATTGATGATAAAAATGTGCGTGGAGTGAAGTGAATGAGTGAATGAGTGAATGAGTGAGAAAAGGAAGAAAAAGGGTAAAATCTGTAATTTTTAGAATTAAAAAAAAATATATATTAATATTATTGTTTTCAAGTATGAAAGCAAATACGTCTAAAAACCGTAATACTTACAATGAAACTTATCATTAAATGAATAATGAGAATTAATTTTATGATCTAGCCTCATTATTATTTATTTGGTTTTATTTAAAAAATAATAATAATAATACAATTACTAATAAAATTAATTATTAATACTAATATTATGATTCATCTTTTCTAAATCTTCCTTTTTTATGAGAAGGCTCATATAAAGAAGAGTCCAAAGTAATTTGTCTTCCTAAAAAATTTATTTCCCCATTATTATGATTATATCTTCTTTTCAATGAATCATTGCTATTTAAAAAACTAACACTATCATCTTGACTTGGCACCAATCTATCTATTTCATGTTGAATATTTTGATTATTATTATCAGTAGTGTTTGATAAAGGAACTGGAAAATTGAAATTATTTTGGATGCCTTCAAATATTTGTTGATTTGAAATTTGAAATTGGGATTCTGTTGATTGATTATTTTGCTGTGAAGTTGTTAATGGTTGTGATGGTTGTTGTTGTTGCTGCTGCTGCTGATGATGATGATGGTGATTTTGATTTTGATTTTGATTTTGATGAATGAATTGTTGCTGTTGTTGTTGTTGACGAGCAGTTGAAGATTCGTCACGAGATCTTCTTGATAAAGAAGAGAGTTGTTCTTTTTTGAGATGCATAAATTTTATCAAATCGTCAACCGATATGATAGCATCACGTCCGTCAGTTCCTAATTGTTGTCTTTGCTGAACATTTGGATGAGATTCGATAAACTCCAATAAATCTTTTAAACATTGTTCATATCCAATATTTTTTTGCTGAAAGGCTGTTTTATAAAGTTGTGTTACTGATTCCGCCGCCACTCGGAAAGAAGCATGTAAAACTTGTGATTCATCAAGAAATTCTGTTGAAAAGCCATTATTATCCATCTTTTTTAATTTATTCTTTTAATTAATATTTAATATTTATTTTTGAAAGTCTTTTAAATAATAATATATATAAATCTAATTGCGTAATATGTACCTCCAAAAATAATATATATAAATATATATATATATACACACAGTATATGAGGAAAATAATTTAGATTGTTGATTCTAAAGAAATCAGGAAATCACAATATAAACAAAGTTTTCCCCCCTCACCAGATTCTCTCGACTTTTTATATGCCAACGACTTCTTCAAGTTGGAATGTGACCAAGGAAAAATATATTTAACAATAAAGAAACAATTGTTTATTAATTTAGCTATATGAATGTATTGTTGGTTAATTAATTGTCGTTTGATAAAAAAAATTTTCAAAAGGAGGGAAATTTTAAAATTATAAATTGAATGACAACAATTTCATCTATATAAACTTTTCATCATCACCTACCCTAATAACAATCATATTTGGTAATATATGTGTGATAATGTGATCTAATGTGATAAAAGGAAATAAGAAAATCTATTCTTGTAGTGTAAAAGAAAGGGAATGTGTGTGTTTGATTTGTACGTATATATATCACTGTATTAAATACACTAAATTGCACACGAATACCAAAATCAAGTGATTTTTAAAAATAACCTCTGTGGTACAAAGTGGAAATTTTGTTCACTAATTGTGGCATATTGAATTACAACATATGAAAATCGAATTGTGGCTAATTGTGGTTTCCATCTTTAGTATTATCACAGCCTTTCTCTTTGATATTGCTTTTATGTTTTATATTTGTTAAGAAGCATTGTTATTTTTTTTTGTGATTTTATTACAAAACATTTATCCAAGATCCCAAAAATTACACCACATCTTGAAAAAAGAACAAGGAGAAGATTACCCCCTGTGTTTTAAAATCAAGTGATGATGCATAAATGCTTAATGATTATCCAAGGAAGAAAAATCACTTATAAAAAAAAGAAAAATAATGAAGAAAGCAAAATGAAAGTGAGCAATTGCCTAATAAAAAGTACAAAAATTTGCAAAATGTAACATAGAATGAAACCAATATATATAAATCTAATTGCGTAATATGTACCTCCAAAAATAATATATATAAATATATATATATATACACACAGTATATGAGGAAAATAATTTAGATTGTTGATTCTAAAGAAATCAGGAAATCACAATATAAACAAAGTTTTCCCCCCTCACCAGATTCTCTCGACTTTTTATATGCCAACGACTTCTTCAAGTTGGAATGTGACCAAGGAAAAATATATTTAACAATAAAGAAACAATTGTTTATTAATTTAGCTATATGAATGTATTGTTGGTTAATTAATTGTCGTTTGATAAAAAAAATTTTCAAAAGGAGGGAAATTTTAAAATTATAAATTGAATGACAACAATTTCATCTATATAAACTTTTCATCATCACCTACCCTAATAACAATCATATTTGGTAATATATGTGTGATAATGTGATCTAATGTGATAAAAGGAAATAAGAAAATCTATTCTTGTAGTGTAAAAGAAAGGGAATGTGTGTGTTTGATTTGTACGTATATATATCACTGTATTAAATACACTAAATTGCACACGAATACCAAAATCAAGTGATTTTTAAAAATAACCTCTGTGGTACAAAGTGGAAATTTTGTTCACTAATTGTGGCATATTGAATTACAACATATGAAAATCGAATTGTGGCTAATTGTGGTTTCCATCTTTAGTATTATCACAGCCTTTCTCTTTGATATTGCTTTTATGTTTTATATTTGTTAAGAAGCATTGTTATTTTTTTTTGTGATTTTATTACAAAACATTTATCCAAGATCCCAAAAATTACACCACATCTTGAAAAAAGAACAAGGAGAAGATTACCCCCTGTGTTTTAAAATCAAGTGATGATGCATAAATGCTTAATGATTATCCAAGGAAGAAAAATCACTTATAAAAAAAAGAAAAATAATGAAGAAAGCAAAATGAAAGTGAGCAATTGCCTAATAAAAAGTACAAAAATTTGCAAAATGTAACATAGAATGAAACCATGATTACATAATCAAGGAAGTTATCTTTTGTCCTTTTCTCCTATGTGTGCCTTGAGGCATGATTCTGCTGCTTTACATTCTTGTGTTGGGTTATAAGATTGTTAACAAACTAACTAGTTGCATATATCTGAGCCCACCAACTTTAATGCCTTGGTTAGTCTTTGGGTTGATAATGTGTTCGTAATTTCGATTATCACAGATAGTTTTTAAATCTAAAATATAATTCTCTTTTCATACGTAATTCTGTTGTATTCGGTAAACTTGATAAACAATTAGATAGTTTTGATGTATTGTCCGACAAATTGCACAATGTGTTTGCTTTATTGTTGTCTAATGGATTGCATTTGACATGTCTATTAAATCAGAAAGAAAAACCACATTTCACACATGTGTATTCTTTTTGAGACGCCTAAATTGTCAGGTCATGAGATAATTGATCAAGGTATTTGAGGGCCTATCAGAGTGATGACAAAATGCATTCACATCGTTATTCGATGACCTGCTGAGGACAAAGTAGGTAGCGCTGAGTGAATTACTCTTATACCCATGAGCGTGATGACAGAAGTACACTTGAGGATTCTGTTAACGATGATCAGATAATAAATCAGTATTTATGTACAGGAATTATGAATCAACTAAAGCTAGATTATCCCAAGAAGATTAAATATTAATTGTTTATTAAAATGCAATGAAATTTCCAAGGTAAGATTTCATTTCTGCCTCCCATATAATAACAATTGCACTCAAGTTGTAATACATACTATCTTCAGATGTTATACTCAAGGGTGCAAACATATGAACACTTGAGGTTACGACACTAATACAGCATACTGCATATGGCATATAGCAAGTTCCGTATGCCATAGGATCACCAAATAAGGTTTTGATTTATCTGATGCAAATCAAATGAAGATTCTTTTTAACTGGGTCAAATCTGTTTTTAAAGATCCGAAAACAACGTTTGGTAAGTCCTTGCAAAATTTTTTTGGCCAAAACAGTGCCTTGAAATAACTGATATCACTATTTTCCTCGTCAGGGTAAACGAAGCCTTGTAGGTATTAGTAATTAGAAAAAGAAAAATTGATATCTCATTACAAGGGAAAAAACCAGACTTTGTTCCAAAACTCTCTGCGGATGACAGTAAAAGGGCTACCTTGTAAAATTGGGTAATGAGACGAAGGACTCAATTGTCAAAATGATAAATGATGTAGTTAATAATAATAATTTAGTTGTTTGTCGCCAGGAAATTTTTAGAGGCATTGAGCAATGCTCCTGTTTTTTAAAACCAAAAAAGTGATAATAAACGGTATTGAAAACCCATGCAATAATATGTTAATGTGAAAAACAATTTCATTTGCATTCTATCAAACAACATGATAAAAGGTATTAAGGTATTAAATTATTATTTTAAAATGACCGCTATATGACGAAATAATGATGATGAAGATGATGACGACGATGATGATATGCTTCCTATTATTTCTGCAAAAGTGCAAAGTATCAAGCTTTGATGACAAATATTCTGAATCAAAGATTATTTATTCAGAGCGGTTTGCTCATTGTTGCCTTAATTATTTTTTGCAACATAAGTGTCTGATTGAGATCAATGACGCGTACAATTCATATGTTTTAATTTAGCATCTTTTTACAGTTATCATTAAAAGGTGGGAAACGAGAAATCCACAATGCTTGTTAATTAATTTTGTCTACAAATTATGTAAATTTATTTTCAAAATGAATTCGTTTTTTTACTGTATAAATCTAGCTAAAAATATTACTTTTGCAACATGAAATAATGGGGACTTTATAGTACAGTAAAACCGTCTCTAGTTTTTTTATTAGTTGTCCCTTTTTTCACATACTAACTTGTGAAGAAAAAAAATTTTATATAATCAAAAAGCATACCGTGGAATCAGATCTTGTTAAACGAGTTGGCCGAAATAAGGAATTCAAGTTTGTTACTTTATTAAAGGAATCTTTGTTCGATACTAG